TTAGGGATTTTCTGTTTTGGTGCTTCGAAGGTTAGGGTTGTAGGGTGAACCAGAACCCCAAGCAACCTACCTTTCGTACCAATAGGGACCTTACAATTATAATGTTTCCCTTAGATGCTTTAATATACGTCCTTAAGAAGGTAAGTTGATAGGGTTAAGGTAGGGTATATCGTCCAGGGCTTGGACTTTCGGGGTTTGGCGGTTAGGACCTCGGGTTTAGTGTATCAGGCGTGGGGCTTTATGTAGTGAGATGATCTGAACATCGCAAACCTTGAACCCGGAACCCCGGCACCTGAATCCTAATCGGTGAGCCCCCAAACTTCCAATGTCAAACAACAACAACAGCAGCAGCAACAACAACAACAAGGTACAACAACAACTCACAAAAAAATACAGCAACAACATAAGAAAAAAAACAGCAACAACAACAACACCTGAGCCCTGAACCGAGTTTACGTAGAAGGGAAAGCCATGTCCAGGCGCGTCTATCGACAGATGCTGTACGAGACAGACGGCCTCAACAACTACCTGTTTCTTGGCCTTCTTAGCTTTATGTTTATATGGGCTTTAAGAATTGGAAGAGTGTGTTTTCAATTTTTGTTGTGATGCCTTTGCGGTTGTGTGAGGATACAGGGGCATTCGCAATTTGAATTTTGGTTTGGAGGTATATGCTTCGTAGTATCATGATATGGGTAGTTCTCTAAATTAGGGTCCCCTTTTTCGGTCCTCTCCAAAATGCATGTACAGCACCCTTATACAGGGATCCCAGGAGGGACCCTTGAGAACTATTCTTAGATCCTTTCAAGGAGCCCTGTGAGTTCCCTTGGCTAAGGTGCGCAGCAATCCTGGATCCTGAGACAATCTACCAGAAGGATGACAAAGGCCCGTGAGGGTGTTGAGTTTAGGGGGCCAGGGCTTAGGGTTCAAGGTTTAGGGTTTTAGAGTTCGGGGTCTAATTGACTCGAACAGCATTTTTGGTGTAGAATACGTAAGGTATACTTGTAGGAGAAACGAACTCTTGGGAACGGTATTGGCAATTGCTTTTTCAGACTCTTGTATGGTAGGTTTTTCAGATTCGAGTCTGATTAGATTCCAGGATTGCTTGGGGTTCAGTTTTTGGCGGTTGAGGATTTCAACTCTTGGGTCTTGTGTTTAGAATTGAACAAGGCTTAGGGTTGGGGCTATAGGGATTGGGAAGCGGCCCCTTGGGAAGTCGCACAATTCGGTTTTTGTTCACCATTGTCGCTGCTACAAGCTGCAACTGACTTCGTTTATTAGTTGTTGGTTCATGCACGGATTTTACATTCACCCTCCGAAGTGTGTCCTCTTGGTGCCTGCCGGCCGGCAAGAGTTCCATGCAGTTTGCTTGAGGTTTAGGGTTTAGATTTTTGAGAGCATGGTTGCAATAAAAGATTTTTCCTTGAGCTACGAAGGTAACTCTAGGGCAGAATTTCTGCCAATCCGTGTCAAATTGTAACAATATACCCGGACCCCAAAGCCTCGTTCTAGTTGTCAAGGCCTGCATACGACACCCTCATGCAACCCCCAACCCCCGCGCCAAACTTTCATGGAACCCTACGCCTGAAACCCTAAACCCCAAACCCACTGCACCCTTAAACACAAACACAAAACACCCCGAAACCCCTAAGCCCCAAACCCTAACCCCGTGAAACACCGAGCCCTGCGGAGTCGCTTCGAGCTTTGCAAGTACTTGGCCCTGACCTCTCTGAACCTTTTGATCCCACCTTTCGGGTTTAGGCGTTAGGGCTGAACGCAACCCTCAACCCTAAACCACCAAAGCCGGACAAAAAACTCTATACCTATACCTCTACACCACAAAAGGCCTGAAAGCCCTGCACGCCCAAAGGCCTACACACAGCCCAGAGTTCCCTGTCGACCCCACAAGCCCGAGGAGCCCAAATAATACCTAAAGGTTCCTTGGACCTTGTATAGAGGGGAGTTTCCGAAAATAAGGGTACCTGATTTGGGGGATCCTTGCAGTAAGGATCCTAGTATTTACAGGGCACTCTATCAGGGTGCCCTATTTGTGTAAACTCACAGAACTTTCATGCCCTAAGCCCTAAGCCGTATAACCTGCTAAAGCTTAAAAACCGTGGGAATTGGCAATGGCTCCATTAACAGAACCCTAAACCCACCAAGGCCTAAAGCCTTAAACCCGCACAAAAATATGATTAAATCCCCACGAGGAATTCAACAACATCGTAAAAGTTGCACTGAGGAACCCTTCATTTTTCGATCGGCCGCCCCGAAATAAAGCCCCAAAAGCCCCTATGCAGACTCAGAGTAACAGTATCAACACAGCCCCATACAACCTGGGACCCTAAACCCTAAACCGAGGCGTTCTTTTCCCCGAGGCTCTATCGGCGAGGGGCATAGCGCCTCGGATCACCAGTGTTGAAGTGTGACCATACTCCTGTAAATATCGAGCTGTCAATGGCATCACCGCATCAAATGCTTCTCCAATCAAGACGATCTTGAGCTGCTAAAGCACTCCACCCCCCCCCCCCCCCCCCCCGCCCCCCCGACTTTCCGACCCTAAAATCGCAACAGCCTCAAGTCCTCAAGTGCTCAAGCCTACAGCCTAACCCGTAAAGGCCCTAGATAGCTTGAAGCCGTGAACACCTGTAAAAAAGCAGTGCCTAAATAGCCCTGAAGCCAAGATGCTTAGTGGGTTTCTTTGCACGATATACCGTCGAGATGCAGCTATGCATGATGGCCAGGCACCCCTGAGAATAAACCCTCAACGCTAAGCTATACTTACTTAGGGGTACTTAGAAACATTTTTCATATTTGGTTATTATAATCCCTAAGAAACAGCTAAACTTACAATTTTTGCTAGGGTTCTAAGTTCAGTATAGTATATCTCTGACATGTAACTTCCACTTCCTTGTTCGAGCAGATCTCGGATCCTGGGCTTCAGGTTTTGGGTGTCAGAGTTTAGGGTTTAGGGGTTAGGGTTCAGGGTTTAGGGTTTAGGGACCTATAGTCTCCATTGTAGTTCCTTTTTTTGGTTTAACCAATTTTATACTAAGGATCCGAAAAGGTAACCCCCAAAAAGGATCTACAATGGAGACTACAGGTAGGGTGTCGGAGTTTAGGGTTTTAGGGAGGGTTCAGAAACAGAGTTCGGGGTTTAGGGTTTAAGGCGTCTGGCAGATTTTGAAGTTGGAAGAGTTTTTCTCTATTTTGCGGTTTCACCAAGGGGTACAGAAGTCCATTGTTGCTGGTGTACTTGCTATCAACTTTATCATGAACAAGACTACTGTTACCGTTATCATGGTTTCCAGCGTTCTTATTATGCCTTACATTAATGCTTACTGTGTTGACCATTGTTATGTATGTTCTGCCACACTTACGCTTAGCAATACTTTTCGCTGCTTTGTTGTAACGACTATGGTCTTGGGCGCAACGCATGGTGTCGTTCAGGTCTCATCAGGGTTCGGCCGAGAGATTAGGATTCTAAGCTTTCGGCCACAAGCCCCAGGCCCTGCCCCTTGTTAAGGGTTTACGTTTTAGGGTACAGGGGGAGGATCAACGGAGTTGGTAAGCAGAAGTTTTATGAGGGTTTCATGCAGGTTTATAGCGAACTAACAAAGGCTTTAGGATAAGGGCCCTTGGCAACTTGTTTTCAAGCAGAAGCCGAAGATTAAACATGATTAACCCAACCAAGCCCCCCAATTCTTGCCGGTTGAGGGCTCTCGGGGTTTAGGGTTTAGGGATTCAATTAAGTCGAAACCCAACAAAAAGCAAAGCTTACTAAGCCACCCGGCTCCGCTAAGCAAGCCGAATCACATCGCTAAGGGCTAGGGAGCGTCATGGTTTAGGGTTCGGGTTTTAGGGTTTAGAACATGATTCTTAGGCTACCCGTACAGGTAGGCCTCTATTAAGTCCGAAAGCAAGCTACAACAGCCTAGTTACAACTCCAGCAAGCCCTGCTGGAAGTCGGTGTTGGAAGCATCCTATAAACAGTACTATTATGATTATTATACTTGGTATTGCTATTATGCTTATTATACTTATCATTACTATTAATGGCTACCTTTTATCCCTAACAGAACCTGCACCCCTAAACACTGCCCATACAGGTCCACTTGTACTCACCAAAACCCTAAATCCTCGACCCCAAACCTCTATATCTATACCTCTAAACCTCGAAACCCTTAAAGATGTATTTTTTCATCGTCTATACCTCTAAACCTCTAAACCCCACCTCTAAGACTCTAAACCCAAAAAGCTGTAGTCTTTCATGCAGGGGTTTCGGGCTTTCAGGGGAGATCCGAGGTGCCAGGTGTCAAGCCGCACCTCAAGGTTTACGCATCTTGGCACAACCGGCTTTTGGGCTTGGGGTTTAGGGTTTAGGAGTTTAGGGGTTTTGGGTTTGGGATTTAGGGCTATCTAGGATTCGAGTCTTAAACTTTCGAAGCCTTGCTTCCGTCTTCGCGTGAAAAGTTTTGGAGGCTTAGGGGTGTTAAGTTGAGGACTTTACCTCTTCAGCTGTAGAAGTTCGGAACGTGGGTATTGTCGGATATCATGTTCAACGACACAGCCACATAGTCGTAACCTTTTATGAAGCATACGCCACGATACGTGATCTATCGCAAACACGCTTGACGATTTTGGGGGGTCGAACACCCACCAACAGCTCGCCTTCAGTTCCCAAACTCAATGCGATGGAATGTAGCGGCCTGAACACCGCCCACATTGACACAATACCAGGACACCCACAGCCCGGACTTTTGGGCGCTTTCCCCAAACTCCAGGTAGCCTCGTCCTGCAACGACGGACTTAACGGACCGAACACGTGGTGACTATTGGGGAATTATTCGGCCCCTATAAGAAGTCCGGGTCACTTGCAAGATGTAGCACCGACCACCACATTGCGTAGCAGAAACTCAGCTCACAAGCCGGAGTGCCTCGGTTGGTCGAGACAGACCCGGTGGTAGCCGTTTTTGCTGCAGCTCAGTCTTTGTATGCCGGATATGGCAGTGACCTTGGTCATGACTTCGTCGGCCCATGACGGAACCTCCACATGCCTTCCGGGTTCCGTCATCTTTGATGAGGGCCAGGCCATGATACCTACACCGAAGTTAGACAGTCGACGGCGCACAAAGCAGCACGAAAAGGACCAGCAGAGATACTGACTGTAGTAGAAGCGTCGGAAAACCTAATGGTAAAAGATGATACAAGTCCCCTTCCTGCATTCCCTATATACCTTTGCAGCCTATAATGTAATGTAATAAGTAAGGCTTCCTTATTATAACCATAGTATAATGGGCCTCAAAACCCTATTCTACTTATTGAGGCGCCTATGTTACCCTAAAAGCAGTTCTCGTTACCAGGAGTCAGTTGAGGATGCGGAGGATGACATCGACGCGATGGCCGGCCTTACAAAGAGAGAGCTGGTGCAGATGAAGGCTATATAATGGGTTTACAATAGCTTGACTATGGCTATATCACGAGTATATACTAGCCGTATTACGGTTGTATGTATGTATATATATATAATATATATATATATATACATACATATGCTATATTAAGGTTGTATACATAGGGGTCCTAATTAAGGGTCCCTCCTTTTATTCCTGGCAAGGCGTTGAAGCAGATAAGCGTCTGGCTGCGGTTCCACAACTTTCGGGAGATGGATGTGAACGAGCAGCAGGTGCCCAGTGGTTGTTTTCTGTTCAAACGGCCAGAGTCCATGTGCCCCGTCCATGTAGCGGCCAAGCACGGCCACGAAGGGATCGTCAGATTTCTTCTCATGGCGCGAGCAGATCCCACGCTGAAGACGTCTCGGGGCCGCACGGCGCTTGAGATCGCAAGGAAAGCGGATGTGAAGGGCTCCCACCGCGAGACGGTGGAGGCTCTTGAGACCGCCGAGGGGGCTGTCTCTGTTCGGCGAGCCATTCAGATCATGGACAACTGAATGCACTTACAGCGGGATCTCAGGCTAGATGGGTCGCGCTTATAGTGTCGGGTTGCAGGGCTTTGTCGTCTGGTTCTATTGCTTGCTAGCCTGCATCGGAATTGGAGTTCCCACTGTGCCAGAGAATGGCCTTGGGATGCGATATCGTGCTCTCTCAATATAGTTGCGCAGTTGATTCTCATAGAGCGGCTGACGCTGAGTTGGCACAGCCGCCAGAGTTCCGTTGAACTGCAACTGGCTTAATATGGGGGTCAGCATAAGTGCGAGCCAGTACAAGCTGTTCACATAGAAACTTTTCCTTGACAGAGTTCCTGGATCTGCCTCAGAACCTTGTTCGTTTGAAAAGGGCACCCATGTTAAGTTGTTGCAGAACTTGTTGGACATAGCGTGGCTTTGGCAGATATGCCTGACGCTTGAAATCAGCAAGCCGGATGGCAGCCCTATTCAGCTTCGGGGGATAGGCCCAAAGCAGTTCCTTTTAGGGGGTTCAGATTTAGAATTCTATAAGGTAATCCCGAAAGGAACTACTATGGGGTCTATGGGTATACTGTACATAGTTGCAGTGGCAGGGCATCACAGGAATTTGGACTCCACATCAAAGTTGCAGCCATCACGAAGCGACCTGCTGTTGCCAATCCTATGTCCATTTCATGGCAAGCCCATGCAGGTGTCCGATATCTTTGCATGAGGTTTTGAGAAAGGTCGAGCATTTACCACCAATAAATCAAAGCCCACCGTTCGTGAGGCATGATCTGTAGCTTCCTACCTGGTCCAGACGTTTCTGCCACAGCTCGGCGCTTGCTATGGATCTCGGTTTAGGCTACCATACCCGCTACCTCGCGCTTGGTATCGATCCAATGGTATGCTTTCCTCATCATGATCTTTTCGCTTAGGTTCATAACCAAGAATGCAGCGCAAGCCGGAGCTGATCAGTTGGTTGAGAAGGCCCCATGGCGTAATACAGCGGACCGCCATAACTGAATAGAGCTTCGCGGTATACAAACACTCCACTTAGATTGAGGAAGACCAAGGTATACTCTAGCATCACCATTGGCCAAAGCGGGCTCGAGCTCTGTGGGTTCTGGACCCTGAATCCCACCAAACACCGGGCCGGGAGTTGAATCCTAGCACTGAGGTGTGGTAATGATGATCCACAGGAGTCGGATTGGGATCTTACTTCTCAGATAGTGAACGGGGAAACTTTAAACTTTTTGGCCTCATATATTGGCTCTGTCTTAGAAAGTTTGAACTTTTTTAGGCCCGGTTGTTGAAGAAGAGAGACTTGGTGCCAGTGTAAAGGTTCCAGTATCAGGGTTTCCAGGGCTTGGTGTTGAACTTTAAGGCTCAGGAAGCAAATGCCTACTGTACCCGTGCAATGAAGTTCGGTTCGGGGCCGAGATGCCGAGCTCTCTGTGGGATCTTTGCGACTCCTGTAAGCGACTCACACGCAGACAGTGAGCCCGGCATACCCTTGAACAGCGCCAGACGCTTTTACCCGACACTCCTCAGGAATACATATAATTCTTTATTGAAGTGGGTATGTATTGGGCTTTGATTCCTGGAGCTCCAGCAGAGACGGAGGGGTTCAAAGCCCCACGCCTCCTGTGGGACGAGCGGAGAGGGCCTCGTCATCCTCATAGTATATAGTTCTCCATCTAGCAGTTTCATCCTTACATGGGAGTTTCCGAACGTTGGGGACCAGAATATCGTAATTACCCTAAATAGTGGTGTCCTTATTGTAAGGACCCCCAAATAAGGTACCCCTACTTTTTGGAAACTCCCACATAAGTTTGCTCAAGGGATACCCCGGACTTAGGGCAGTTTCTCTGGAGAGGGCGGGGTTCAAACCCCCGTACCTCCGGTAGGACGAGAAGATCTCACGCTCCTGGTTTTAGCAGTCTCCGTTAAGGGTTTGGGTTCGTGGTTTAGGGTATAGGTTTGAACGAGGTCTTTCTGAAGTGCCTCCAAGTTGCCTGCTTCATCCTTCAGAGAGACCTCGTTCAAAGGGTGTAGGTTTGGGCTTGATTATGTGCTAGAATACATTTTCTGGAGACTTTGTCCACGATCCTGCAGCTGTGCGATGAAAACGAGCGTGCAGTTGGCCTCTTGTTTCCTGCACTCAAGCTGACAGTCGCTGCAGCCCGACGTCATCTGTTTTTGGATTCAGGGCTTAGGGTCTAGGTTCTGTGATCAACTGTCGGGTTTCCGGTGGGCCAGTGATTCGCTAGTGTGGAAGTGGAAAGACCTAGTAACTTCCAGAAATTAACAGTAGATCTCCTGATCATGCCGCACTGGGCCGCGAAGCTTATTCCTATGTATTATGGCCAGTACATGGCTATTTCTAGACCCTCTAATTCTTGCAGCTTCTTAGTACAGCCGTTCTATACGAGTTACAGACATTCTGCAACAAACTTTTATCGTGGCATCGAGGACGGAGTGCTTGGAAATGGTACATACCCCTGTACTCCCAACAAACACACTGTCCCCACTGTGTAACAGTTGGATAATCCGTTGATAATAACATGCTTGTATATAGCCCTTAATGTGACCTAATCACCGAATATAGACTGTTACAGGGTGGGGGCAGCACCCAATCAATGCGTGTATGTATGTATGTATGTATATATATATATATATATATCCCTGTATCCCCAATAAGCACTATGTATGCTATGATCTGCCGTGAAAGGTTTACTCTGATAATCAAAACATCTATGTTAAACTGTTAAACCACCAAAGACCGTATTCTTTAACCCCTGCACACCCTTTTTTAAGAACCATGGGTTGGTCTATCCTTCTTGCCAACCTGGGTGGTTCTCTATCTATCTATGTACCTTCCTACCTGCCTACCTACCTACCTGCCTACCGACCTGCTGCATACCTTCCTCCTTATGCAACCTACCCACCTACTGTACCTGCGTACGCTTATCTATCTGTCCGTCTGTCTATCAATCTATCTATCGAATCTACTCGTCCCTACCCCCTCCCCCTCCCTCTCCCTCCCTCCCAGCTTCCCTCCTTTGCTCCTTCCATCCGTCAGTCCATCCATCCAGCCACCCATGCATCTGTCCATCTTTATATGTATCTTTGCGTGTATCTTGCTTCGTCTGTTTCTATCCTCTTTAGAACATCATAGACAACGTATGGTATGTACTACCTATAGTCTCCATTGTGGTTCCTCCTCCCGGTTTATCAAACTTTGTGATTAGGATCCTATAAGGTATGTTCCCAAAACAGGAGCTACAATGGAGACTTTTTGTGTGTATGCTTTTAGTATAAACCTGCAATGGAGGCTTCATCTGGTACGTCTAAACTCTAAACCCTAAGCCCTAAACCCTAAACTCGAAACCTTAAGCCCTACACCCTAAACTCTAAACCTTAACCCCTAAGCCCTACACCCTAAACTCTAAACCTTAACCCCTAAACTCTATACCCTAAACTCTAAACCCTCTCTGCCGATCCCACCTGGAGCTCGCAGCCCAAGGAACTCCCGGGGACGAACGGCGACACGGTGATGCAGGCTTTCAGGGTTTAGGGTTTGGGGTTTAGGGTTTAGGGTTTAGGATTAGGGTTTAGGGTTTAGGATTAGGGTTTAGGGTTTAGGATTAGGGTTTAGGGTTTAGGGGCCGGTTCAGGGTTCCAGAGACGCCAATATGGGGGTTTCCGAAAATTAGGGGTACCTTATTTTGGGGTCCTTATAATAAGGATCCTAGTAATGAGGGTCCCATATTAGGGTCCCCTATTTTTCGGAAACTCCCATATCCCTTAATTAAGGAATAGACCTTAAATTCTAGCAGGATCCCTAGTATGACTTATGGAATCTTCCTGAATTAAGGGATAGTGGAGTCTCTGGGATTTATGGCTTAGGGTCCACTGTTAAAGAGTTTAGGGATTAGGGGTTGGCTGTAAGGGCCCTGTTCAGGGTTCAAGAGTTTTGGGCTTAGGGTTTGGATGGGTTTGGGTTTGGCTTTCACGTGCCGGTTTTAGGATTTGGGGTTTGAGGCTTAGTGTTTGGCTTTCAAGGTCGGGTGCACGCTTAAAGAGTTTAGGGTTTCGGGTTTAGTTGTTCAGTTTCCCGTTCCTTCTTCGAGCGTTTTGTTTTGACGGTGGTTGTTTAGAGTAAAAGGATTTGGGGGCAGAGTTCTTTGGCGAACGGGGTTTGTGGCTCTATCTTCGGTCACGTGTCACAGTACACAGGGAACACGGACGTTATCATTCTGTCGGCGTTGATTCCCCAGTTGCTTGCATCAGCGCGGCACACACTTCTGTGCTCTCCAGTCGAGCCGGCTTTGGGGCTGCTTCTACGATATTTACGACATACGGTCGCTGCCCAGCCCAGGCCACACCAGAGCACTGGCCCACATGGACGAAGGAGGACAGGGACGAAAGCGGCAGGAATGATGCTGTCTCCGGTTCTTGCAAGCAAGCAATGCAGGTCCTCCACGGTTTGGGTCACGGGATACTGGCGTAATTCGTAGGTCGAACAAGGGCCTGGGGGTCATAGGCAGGACCACCCGAGCCTTACACCCGCAGCCCTAAAGCCCTATATTATAGGGCTTGGATCACTGGTACCTAACACTATTCCCGTGGATACCTTCATGCAGTTTATACGGTAATATACCCCCGCAACCCCATTCCAATCATAAAGGCCACCTTGCCCCAAACCCCCACCCTAAACCCTTCGAACCCCTTATAGAAACTAACCATTGATATTATGGGAGCTAAGGAGCCAGGGATGATGATAATCCCTATTAAATAAGGAGCTAAAGAGCCAGGGAACCCCCAAAACCACTGGTTAGGAAATCCTAAACCCTAAACCCTAAACCCTAAAGGCTTCTATATCCAACCCAGGAGTCGCCTAGACTCAGGCGCTGCCGTCCAGATCGTTCGAGTTCTTCGGCCTGGACCATGTTAATTCCCGTCCCCGGACAAGCCCCGAAACGGAAGACCTACCGAGAAGTAGAGTAGGTAAGCTTTAACCTTTTTTGGGCAGTATAGTC